CCATACCATGGTCAGCTACTCTTCACCTCAGTCACTCTCTCTGCACCGTATACTCCTGTAATGTTTGGACCTAACAGGGTTCTTATACAGGGCGGGTTGCCTGTCTGCTTTCGCATCTTCCATATGTTTACTGCACTTCTGTACGTATTTACCAGTTCCAATTATCATAAGGGCACGAAAAAAGAGCATACACATTTATTCACATAAGTCTCTAGAAACGTTTATGACACGACTCCTCCTACTACTGGCCGCTCTACGCTTTCAACAGTCTCCGAACTTGCAGTATTGCTCAGCTGAAAGATTACCTGCTCAAAGGAGATTATTTTTGAACAAAAATGTGTGAGGATGTATACGGAGGGCTGGGGGGGGGAAGAGCAAGCGGTAGCGCATTCGCCTGGGAAGCGTGAGGTGAGAGTTGGAGCTTTGCGTGTAGTTTGATTTTTGCTCATCCCCCCTCCCCTCCCCCATCGCAACACGCCCTAGGACAACTGTCCCTTAGAAGATGCGACGCCAGAGGCGCTAGCGGTAGGGTGCCCTCGTCAACTTACTCCCTCCATGAAGTTCGTGTGAAAACCGCGTTGGCTCAGAAGTTGTGTGACTCTACCCTATTATTGGCAATTCCTTCAATTGGTGGTCGGGTGGCAGGGGGAGGGACAGACAGTTTTTCTGTACTGTTGGTACTCCATCAAGTCCAACATGGTCCACTGTCAAGGGCTGCTCATTGTCAGACAGCTCCTCCTTTGAGGAAACCAACAATCAGAGAAACGATGGAAAGTGTTGTGTCCGGATCGGTTCCGTCAGTTTAAGAGAGGAACCACACTACATATTCCGAATATGGAGGAGGCGTGGGTGCGTACGCTATCTAAACCATCAGAAGCGCTCCGCTGATGAGATATTTTCGTTCTGTGACAATTTTAAACAGTTCTTGAACCAGCACAGAACAGAATGACAATTTCCTTACACAGAAGTATTCCACGAAAAGCACATCTTCAGCCGTGTTCAAATAGAGTACGCGGCCACGCCTTCCCCATGTTCCGGATGTGAGGGCAATTGTCCTTACGTACATATTCATCCCTGTAGAAATATCGTATTGATCTATTAAACTTACATAAAATTGTCCAGCGGATTGCTTCACTTTTGAGCGGGTGGGTGTGCACCTGAACCAGTTTATGTTAGGCTTTCGATAGAATTCTATAATAACTAGGGGGCGGAGCTCAGTTGGATGAGCTTGGCCCCTCTACGCCCAGAGTTCGATTCGGCTTTTCGATAGTGGATTGAATCGTGCATTTTGAATTGTGCCTTTAGTACCACTGCTCAGAATGCATTCATACTCTGCATCGGTGTTTTGAGCGTACGCCGGCGTGCGCTGTGAGCGATGGATCGATAACACTTCCTTTGCCGGTTGGATCGTTGGCGTAGCTGATATATGCAGGCGTGTGCTCAAAACGTTGAAGTAAAGTATGAACGCGCTCTGATCTAACCATCGCATTCTAACAGTAACTGTATAGCCAGCCGATCGTACAGCTGTGTAAAACAGACGGGTTTGGCACCACGCCAGACTGAGCCCGCTTGACTCGCCCATTCGTCCGCAGCGAACTAGACTATATTCATTGTGTTCCCTGCACCTCATATTACTATAGCACAGGCCCGTTATGTGTTAACAGTAAGGAGATGACCTGTCATCTCAATTCGATAAAGTGCCACATAACACCGTATAATCAAAGAAACTTGGGTTGTTTGTCCTGTAAATGACGTTTCGAGACATGTCAGTGGCGTGTTATGTGACGTCAGTGACAGGTCATCCACCGCTTAACAAGTATCGTAACTCCTGCTATATCACAATGACGAGCACTTACTGCTGCGGCTTCACTTCTGCTGGTGGTGGCTTCTTCACTTCTGGTACTTCTGCGGGATGAGCTTGACCGCTATGATAGCTAAACGAAAGTACATGCATTCATGGTGAACACACACTTAGCACGTGTGCTCATATCCTGGAGATAGGGGAGGGGGTGGAGGGGCGTGGCATCGTAATGCGTTTAAGCGTGACTCCAGCTGCACTTTTTACTGGGACATGTCGTTTTGGGACATGTAATCATGCCTTTGTCCAGGATGACAGTTGTCTTGAACGAAAAAGCATCTTACGCCTTGTTCAAATGAAGTACGCCGGCCACGCCCTCTCAACTTCCGGGATATTGAGCTTGTACCCTCTACTCGGCTTTAGAAAAGTGTTGGTCCTTTTCGAGCTCAGAACCCAAAAAATGACCTTGTCTCGGCCGTATGAAACTTTGAAATGCTACTATTTCTGTTGGCAACTTAACCCTTAAAGACAATTTCGCGACAACTGTATGGGCGGCGGAGAGATGAATGAGGACTCACGATCATCTTTTTCCTTTTCGGCGCCCCTCCTCTCGAAAGTACAGAGGAGAGACGTGCTAGTGCGGATGGTAACACGGTCCAAGCCCATCCGATTATCGCGGAATATGTTGTACCTTCCGCAACTGATTACAGCTTAAGAGCAGCCCAGGTAGGAAGGAGGATAACCGAGGTAAAGGATCATCCCACCACTTTTCCAGTTATAGGCTTGTTCGGTTGACGAGCGAGTTCACGTTTTTCGAGTCACTGGTCCTTCAGTTCATCCTGGAGCTTACTATTAGCGGAAACCCTGTTTTTTTTTCAAACGCTTTGGCGCTTGACCTTGTGCTGGCACTCGATGGGTTGCGTTAGTCAGAATTCTGTACATTCGCGTATATCTGTTTAATGGTCTTGATACTGAGAGGGGGCCTGAACTACTATGGACGCGGCAGCGGGAGGGATCTCATTAGCTCAGCAGAATACGACGCCATTGTTGCAGAACCA